CCCATTGAAGGGGTTCAAAAGGAGAAACTCCTCCGGGTGCCATGAACACGGTTCAATGCCAGGGGGGCGTGGCGCCATTCCCAACTTCCCACTCCTTATACCTGGAGTCTCCCGAAGGACCCGTAATAAAAATGGGGCCATGACCAACCATTATTTTGGGTAATGACCCCATTTTTAAAGGGTCATGGAGACTCCAGGTAGTCATCTGACAATTCCTGGGGACTTGCTATCGAATGCCCCAGGAATCCTTACGATCCCCTTCCTGGCCGTTTCCGACACTTCTGAAAACGGTGCTGCCTTGCATTGGCTGCTAGAGGCGAATCAGCATACGAATCCAAGCCCCAAGACATCATATTTATAAACTCCCTCGGCCCGGTGCCCGACCACAAAAGAATGAATTTTATTTCAATGGTTGCCTCTTTGCCGAGCTCCCACCTGCTTAAATCCACTGGAAAAATACATACTTGGAGTCTCCATGACCCTTAAAACATGGCGCCATTACCCAAAATAATGGTTGGTCATGGACCCATTTTTAGAGGGTTATGGAGACTCCAGGTATTTCCAGCGGTGAAATGGATTTCCTTTAAGACCAACTGGGGAAAGTCAACAAAATCGAAGCCAAGCAGTCCGGTGGTTGGTTTGCCTCCTGTCCGTGGCCATCTCGTCCGGTACCCAAGTCCAGTGGGGGTGGTTCTCCTTGAGGGGGATGCGGGACCCAATTCCAGTGATCTGAAGTCTTCCCAATAAAAACAATGGGTTGGTCCGCTCAATGGGTGCGAGTTTTTTGTTTGGGGACCCGAAATGGTGTACACATTTGTGGGAATTTATGTCCGCCAGGCATTTGGGGGGAGGGTCCTCATGAAAATTCCAGCATTTTCATAGCCAGAAGTGAACCAGACGCCAACAAGTATGGTGTTGAGGCGAAAGCTAAGGTTGAAAAGGCGCGCACAACGATGAGGACCCACCGAAAAGGAGTTGGGGCCCCTTTCTTTCGCGTAATTAAGTCACCAACTGCCCCGCTGAAATCGCTGAGGACAAACCAGGTTGCACGACCATCCCAGAGCAACTATATAACCCTCGAGTGACTGGACCAGAATGTTCATCCCTTAATGTCTAACGCAAGCAGCACTTTACGTGCCCAACTACTGTGGATGGACGAAATCCTGCACCCTAAGAATCCCTGGAATGATGATTTTTTGTAAATAGCAACAAGCAATGCTTTCCCATGGTTTGACACTCTTACCCCTGATTAGCTTTTACAGACATATAGCCCATGTTACCCAAAAAGTTGAAAAGTTGTGTTTTTAAGAGGTAAGCCACTGGTGCAGGAATTTGTCCATCCACACTATGATTATGCAGTTCCACGGGTGTTCCTTTGTCAGACAGCTTTTTCCGCGCCACGGATTTGTGCCGTCCATGTAAAAGCATCAGTGAATTCCAAGCTGTTCTTCCACCTGGCTGCTGTCTCCGCCATAGCGTGGACTGCCCCAGGTCACAACAGCCCCGGATGCAAGAATGGCAGCAAAAGCAGTGCCAGTTGCTTGGATACACTGAACATTCCTCAGTTGCTCTTGCTCCTGGCTGCTGTCTCCGCCGTATTCTGGATCACCCCAGGTCACAACAGCCCCAGATTCAAGAATGGCAGCAAAAGCATGGCTAGTTGCTTGGATGTGCTGGACATTCGTCAACTGCTCTTGCACGTGGCTGCTGTCTCCGCCAGTTCTTGATTCCCCCCAGGTCAGAACAGCCCCAGATCCTAGAATGGCAGCAAAAGCACCCTCGACAGTTGCTTGGATGCGCTGGACGTTCTTCAGCAGCTCTTGCACCTGGCTGCTGTCTCCGCCGTGTCGTAGATCACCCCAGGTCACAACAGCCCCAGATTCAAGAATGGCTGCAAAAGCACGGTCAGTTGCTTGGATGTGCTGGACGTTTCTCAGCAACTCTTGCACCTGGCTGCTGTCTCCGCCGTATTCTGGATGACCCCAGGTGACAACAGCCCCAGATTCAAGAATGGCAGCGAAAGCACCAAAGGCAGTTGCTTGGATGTGCCGGACATTCCTCAGCTGATCTTGCACGGGGCTGCTGTCTCCGCCAGCTCTTGATTCCCCCCATGTCACAACAGCCCCAGATTCAAGAATGGCAGCAAATGCACTACCAAACCGACTGCCAGTTGCTTGCATGTGCTTGACGTTCTTCAGCTGCTCTTGCACTTGGCTGCTGTCTCCGCCGTGTCGTAGATCACCCCAGGTCACAACAGCCCCAGATTCAAGAACGGCAGCAAAAGCACTCTCAGTTGCTTGGATGTGCCGGACGTTCCTCAGCTGGTCTCGCACCTGGCTGCTGTCTCCGCCCGAGCGTGGATCACCCCAGGTCACAACAGCCCCAGATTCAAGAATGGCAGCAAAAGCACCCTTGGCAGTTGCTTGGATGTGCAGGACATTCCTCAGCTGATCTTGCACCTGGCTGCTGTCTCCGCCGTATTCATCACCCCAGGTCACAACAGCCCCAGATTCAAGAATGGCAGCAAAAGCACCCTCGGCAGTTGCTTGGATGCGCTGGACGTTGCTTAGCCGCTCTTGCGCCTGGCTGCTGTCTCCGCCGCATTCATTATTACCCCAGGTCACAACCTCGCCCGCGTGGCCATTCCAAGCGAATGCGCAACTGGTGGCAGCCAGTTTGCCAAGCTGCACAACCGCAGTGACCACATCCCCATCTCGCAAGCCAGCCTCACTCAGCGTGGCTGTCAAATCGAGCTGTTGGCCTTTCGCAGTGAGCTTTAAGCGACGTTTGAAATGCTGCTGCGCGGTAGCCTTCAGCTCCCTGATTGGCCTTTTTGGTGAGACTGCTAAGCAGCAACCAGCTCCGCTGGGCAAGTGAACATGCACCTTCATGGCGCAGGAAACAAATTCCGCATTCAAGTGGCCAAAACACAAACCTGATACGCCAAGCCATATCAATTGGGGCTTGGCTTCATGATCCAATGGTGCAGGAAGGCTATTTTGGCTGCATTGAAGTTGCCAAACACAAACGCCCTGATCCGAAACCGTATCAATCGGGCCGAGGGCGCTGCTTGGTAAACGGCGTGTGGTTGGATTCCATCGAGATGTCCGATTCCAATTTCTTCGCTGCACTCCAAGTGGTGGTTCGGATTGCTGGTTTGGTGGTCCTCAAGGGTGTCCCATCTACCCCTTACACCTAATACCCACTTTTTTTAGGGTATGATGTCGACCCTCTACTAAAAAAGGAGGTATTTACCTTGAAAAACCAGGTTTCCTTAAAAATAACCTAGAAAAAGTGGGTATTTGGAGTAGGGGGTACTGTCTACAAGAACCCTTCAACTCCCCAAACCACGCCATCCAAACCACCAGTGAAGGGCATTCCGTATGAGGACCCTATCAGTGGACGGAAGCTGACCTTCAGACCTTCAGCCAGCGGCAATCCGGGGAAAGAAGAAGAAGAAGAAGAAAACACATGTCTTGGCGGGTCGCGGCGAAAACCCGGCGAGTCATAATTACCCCGGTGTGTGGGGACCAAGAGGTAAAGCACCTACAAATTCGTACGCAAGTGATGCCTAAACTGGCTCAGAAAGATTCAGGAACCCCTTTTTGCTTGATCCGCGTTCAACCGTTCAACCCGAACGAAACCTAGATCAAAATTGTGAGCGTCGTTTTAGTGCAGGGCGAGAATATACCATGGTACCAACAATTGACCCAGTGGAGGGTCAAACAAACACCTGGGGGGGCCACACTGATCCAGCTGCTCGTGGTTTTTTTGCTGGGGTAAGGGGCCATAAAGGGGAAACAAGTCGCAACAAGCCTCGACAGATTTTGGCTCGCGGACTGGTGAGACAACCCCAACAGGGAACCGAGCCTCAAACACGCAATCTCAGATGCTCAGTGGTCATGGGAAAAAGAGGGCATCCTGGTTGGTTGAGGTTAAAGGGGAACCCTTCCCCAAAAAAGAAAAAGGGCGCCACTGGGCAACAGAGCAATCACACACACACATTCAACATGATTGGACACCAAATGGCATGCGCTGCCTCACCCTTTTGAACCTTTGAAGGAATCAACTAGAACCCGTTTTCAAGTACCTGGACCCTGAAACTAGCCAAGCAAAATGGGAATGCACCCATTTTGTTGGGTAGAGGGCCCTTCCCAGCTTCAAAACAGCTTATATAAGAGGTTGGAGCGAAAGACATCAACCCAATGCTTGCACCACACGAACATCACCAACCAGCTGTTCAATCCTGGGGAAGGATTCCCAACTGGATTGGGAAGTGCACTGCTACATACATTTAACTTCAATCGCATTTGACATTGCATTTGCTAATTGACTTGGACCTGGATGTTGAAATTTCAAGAAGAAGATGATCACCCCATATTGTCTTCCCCTTTGAACATCTTTGCACCCAAAGCGCATTGGAACGACGTGTCGCAATAGACATGATGAACATGTGAGGCCCAGACGCAGATGGGTGCGTGTGTCTGTGTGTGTGTGTGTGTGTGTGTGTCAGTGTGTCCGTCTCTGTGTGTGTGCGCGTGTCTGTGTGGGTGCGCGCACTTCTTTACTTGAAGGGGCAGGATACTTAGTAAGTGTTTAGCAACCATGATTAGAACCTTCTTGCCATGGTAAGTCCACCAAGTGAAGAAAAACCAGACAAACCAGGGTTGTTAACCACTTGCCTGACGTACCGTGCCCCCTCAAGCAACAAATGTCACTACCACCGGCCCAGTTCTTCACCGTTAGATCGTCAAAAGGACCCGTGCTGATATCGACGAAAATCAAAGGACACCAACATGTTAAGCCATCAAATTACAGCTCTTTAATTTGAGCCATACACATATGGGCCATGGGTGTGCCTGCTTTTGCTCGTACGCCTTGTCTTTCTTTTTGCTTCCTTTAGGCGGGTTACCGGGGAGCCGGGAAAACCACCAGAATTGGTGGATCCCCTTAACAACCAGCTTCCTCTTCCAACGGACTCCAGCGATGCGCCAAGCGTCAGGTTCATGGAGGGCGAGAGGTAGCCACCGAAGCGGCCGAAGAGGTCCGGCACGATCATACCGATGGTGGCCACCATGCCTCGAACGAAGCTGGCTGGCGGTTTATCTCAGCCCGAGTGGAAGGCAGAGTTTATCTCATCCCGAGTGAATGATGCTCAAAACAAGAAGGACCATGTTTTTGTTTACCACTATCTCACTTGAGTCGATGGCAAGAGTAAGCACACTTCCCTAGGAGCCGGATGGGGCCGATTTCATTCTTTGAGGCCCTTTTTCGGGGGGTTAAAGGCCCAAAAGTCTCCAAACTTGTGGTCCTACCACTAAAATGGTCCAAACCCGAGTGCCTCCATCTCACTCGAGATGGCCCAAGAGCAACCACACTTCCCTAGGAGCCCGATGGGACCGATTTCATTGTTTGAGGCCCTAAAGGGGTTAAAGGCACCCCCTCATACTTAGGGTCCAAGCAGGTTCTGGGGCTTCTTACTTGCCAGTAAAATGGTCCAAGTGCCCAAAAAGTACCAAGTCCGAAACCGAACTCAAGAAGTGAGCGCTACAAAGGAACCGGTATGGGCTTGCAAAACAACTTTGTGTGAACATTTCTTCCGGCCCACGAAAAATGAAGGGAACCAACAAGTCGAAGAAGTTGTGGGGTGACTTCAGGTCCATAGTTGCGATTCGGATTTGAACAGCTGGTTCTGCCCCTGGAAGTGCCGAGAACTCGAATCCAAACCAAGGAAGGGGAAACCGATGAAAGTTTGGAGTCAGTTGCAACTGCCTGGAGTCTCGAGCCCTAAGGACCCGTAACAAAAATGGGAACCATGACCAGTATTTTGGGTACTGACCCCATCTTGAAAGGGTCATGGAGACTCCAGGTGGGTCAACGATGGAAAAGGTACGGAAACCAGCAAATTCCCTTAGAAGAAAGAGTGCCCCACTCAAAACGGGGACCCCCTTTGTAGGGATTCTCCCCACTCAAAAGGGGGGCCCCCTGAATAGCTTCGATGCGAGTGTATCAGGGGTTGACGTTACCCCAAGGTGCAATCATATTTGTCCAATTCGATCAGAACCTCCAAGACTTTCCCTGGTCTTTCAGTAGAGAGGTGGGTATGGCTCAAAAAACCGGGCCCAAAATGGAACCCTAGTAAGTGGAAACATAGACCAAAACCTGCGTAACCCTAGCTCTTTAATTTTGAGCCACTGTCAGGTTAGAATAAGGGTAACGTAGGGGACCTGGGGTTTCCGCAAAAAAGAAGCGGTAAAAGGGGACCTAGTTCCACTGAGCCGAATGTGATCTGATCGAAGGTTCTGATTGCCAAAAGACCTTTAAAAGACCGATCCCTTTCTATTGCCTTTGACCCAGATAAAAAAAAGCGGCGCAGAGCCGGAAAAAGGGATCGGTCTTTTAAAAGTCCAGGCGATCAGAACCTTCCATCAGAAGCGGTCTTTTATCTGGAGCCTTTCCTGCGAGAAGTGCGAGGGCGTGTCCAAAAATTGGGGTTAGGGGTGCCTCATGCAAGGTGCCGTGCTAACAGCTGGGACAACGGGGGGGGGGGGGGGGAGGTTGTGAATCAGGGGGCAACAAATCCCCCGCAAAAAAAAAGGATTTGGGGAGGGGGGAGGGGGGGGGGGAAATTTCAACCCCTCGAATTCCATGCATGGCAACCCATTCTCCCTATGCGGAAGACGAGGTGCATGGAATGGGGTCCCGGACCGGACCCTAGAGGCCTGCTCCCCTCCTAGCCCAAGACCTCCAGTGTGGGTTTTCCTTTTGACGTAGCTTAGGTCCCGAAAAGGGGGCCGTCCCGAACACATGGTCCAATCGGCAAAGTTGAGGGACCCTTTCAGCTCAAGCAAATTGCCACTTTTCAAACACCCTGAGTTGCGAAAAAGTACGCAATTTGAGGTGTCTTGTTTGAGGGTACCTGGACCCTCAAACTACCAGCTTAAAAATTGGATATTGGAACGTAATATTATGGTAAGTGAATGAGTTCCCTTTTTGATGGGTTCTTTCGGGTCCAGGTACCCTTTTTCTCGCTTGAGTGGATGGCCCAACAAAAGCAACCAGAAAATGTTTGCTCACCACAGTGGTCCAAAGTTCAGGAGCCCAGGAACTGAGTTTTGGATGGGCTTAAAGCAGGGTTGTGGGAAATGGAATCCACTTCTGTGATACGTTGCAAAAAGGGCTTCCCAAAGACTAACCCCCCATAAGGGGGAGATTCTCTTGTATCACAGAAGTGGCTGGATAAACCCCGAGTGATCCCACAACCCTGGTTCAAAGGGACACCGAGAGGTTTTTTTGGCCCGGTCTAATGAGCCCGGTTCACCAGTAGTCTTCTGATTCCGATCGGCAGGGCCGGCGGCTCATTGCTGGATCGTTGTTGGCTCTTCTTTTGAGTGCCCCTTTAAAACCAAAAAAAGGTCACCTCACATTGCCCAAATTTAAAAACCACCACCAGAAGTGGTGCTAACTCAAAAAAAAACAGACACGTACACCTGAGTGGAATCTTCTTCTTTTTTTACGGTCACCTGCGTTCGCCGAGGGTGCACGGTAGACGAGTACAGTCGACGAAAGAGGGAGACTGGAAACCAAAGGCAACCAAAGGAGCTGAACCAAACTCAAAACCAAACCAAAGCAGACCTACTCCTTAAAAAGGTTTACCTGGAGTCTCCATGACCCGAAATAAAAACGGGTCCATGACCAACCATTATTTTGGGTAATGACCCCCTTTTTAAAGGGTCATGGAGACTCCAGGTAGTCTTGGGGAAGGAATGGTCATTGGTACCATCGTGATTGTTGCCATCCGCTGCAGCGGGGTTCTAATTTCACTGTCCAAGGAAGGGCTCCCGAAGGAACGTTAAGGAACACGAAGTTCCCAGGCCACTCTACCCACCTAGCCCTGGACCTTGCCGATTAAAGACCCTAACCAGTGCGGACCTTTGATAACGTGGGATTCCCATGACGACGTGGGATCACTGCTCATAGGGCTCCACACAGAAAGCTGGCAAAAGCAAAAGGAAACCTTAAGCAAAACCAGAGGAAACCTCAAACAAAACCAAAGGGAACCAAACAAAACAAAAGGAAACCAAACAAGCTTCACTTCTCCAACCCAGAACGCATCCTTTATCTGCGCGCCGAAAAAAAAGAAAACCCATTTCTCTCGTTTTGGTCTGATCGAGGGCGAGGTGCAGATCCGGCCGTGCTTCAGCTCCAGCTCCCGGTTCTTCCGGAACTTCTGCTCATCCTCGGCGGATTTCCCAACATGGGCTGGTTTGGTACCTGGAGTCTCCTTCTGACCCTCGAAAAATGGTTGGTCATTACCTTAAATAATGGGGTCGAATGGGAAAAACGGATAGGAAAAACGCCATGTTGGGTGTGGGTGAACCCAACATAGAAATGGGTTTTCCCAGCATGGGCTGGTTTGGTAAATGGACAGGTCGAGTCAAATCTGGGGTGCAACCTGGAATTCTCTGAAAAATTGAGCCCCTTTCCCAGGCCCCAACGATCTATTTTTGTTTTTTCAGCATCGGAATCGCAAGGCCCCCTTTGCTTTTTGGCACCGACTCGGCTGCGAAGTCACCTCGGTCACTCGGACGACTCGACCTCGAGCAATCGACCGGTCGGTCACCGGAAGCCAGAGGTTTCCGACGTGTCCGTAGGGATCCCTCAGGACTACCCCCATAATCTCCAAATACCGAAGTTTTTTAGTTGGTATGTTTGGAAAACCCATCGGGTTTCCGTGGCAAATACCGATCCCTTTTTTAGTAGAGGGTCGACATCATACCCTAGAAAAAGAGGGTATTACCCCGTAACCAATACCCGATGCCTTTTTTTAGTTGGTATCCTGTCGACCCTCTACTATAAAAAAGGGATCGATATTTACCTTGGAAAACCGATCGGTTATTCAAATTCAATACCCTGAAAAAAAAAAAAAAACGAAAAAAAAAAGCGGGTCTTTGGAGTATACGAACTAAGTCGGTATCATGTATCAAGGCGACGGTTTCTCGTTTGCTTTCTCCTCCCCTGCTCAAAGTGTTTAACCCTTAGCGGTTTACAAAAAAATGCAAACATCCATGAGTTGGCAACAAAAAAGTTCTCAAGTCCTAACCAATCCCTGGGCAACATGCACCCAAGGTTTCACGTGATGCAACCAAATCCTTTCCCGCGCGCGGCTCGAGTCGGCGCGCGCGCGGCGTCGCGTCCTGGAAGGCCATCATGCCGAAGGGGTCCCAGTAGCCCAAGGGAGGGCAGGCGCCCAGCTCCTAGCCGCGGGGTCGAGCGCGGTCAAAGCGAAAAACCGGCGAAGTGAAGCGGGCGGTAAAAAGGTCCCGTAGAACTGACAAAAAGCATGGGAAACTTCTGGGGTCTTAGCCAAAAGACCCCCAAAAGACCGATTCCTTTTTATGGCCTTTGACCAAAAGAAAAAAGGCGGTACAAAGCCAGACAAAAAGGATAAACCTGGCCTCAAAAGTGAAAATTAATTTGACCAAAATCTAGGAAACGGCTTGGAGTTGTGCCTGAGGTTCTTGTGCAGAAGTACTCTTTCGGTACTATGTATGAATTCTACCAGAAACATCTACACTCAACCGTTTGCTGGACCCTTCTGGGCCTTCATCGCTCCTTTCTCCCCCCGCCCAAGTCGAAGCTCGCGCCTTGGAGGGGTCGAACTGCGCAAAGGCGCCCTGGCCGTCGTTGAAGGGCGACAAGTGCCCCGCCGCCAGCTGCTCCATGGGCGACTGCCCCGTGAGCCCGTTCCTCAGAGCCCCCCAAAAACCCCACGAAACGAAACGCGCGCCCTCCGTCCCCTTTGTTGGAACCGCAAGAGGCGGCATCCATCGGTTCAACTCGGAAACCACGCACATTCCGACACGCTATAAAGGGATGTCCATGTCAGAGGATTTGAAACCGGTGCGAGAGATGCAGGGAATGATGCTTGGACCGGAATAGACTCGTCCTGGAAACCCATGTGTGACTTTTTTTTTGTCCATACGGCTTGGGCCACAAAAATGACCAAACGGATTTTCGGCTTTTTGTCAACAATTTGTTGAAAAAATACGGGTTGCATACGCCAAATACGGCCACCAGCCAGCAAAAAGTTACTATACGGGACAAACCATCCAAATACGGGATCCGTCCGGAAAAAGAAGAAGAACAAAAAACAGGCCATGCGGCCTTCCAGGGTGGTTGTTTACCATCCCCTTTTTTCTGTTTTTTTTAGAGAATCGCCCCGAAACGAGAAAAAACACATTCCATGGTCTGATTCCTCGATTTCGCACCGATCGATTGGAGGATTTCCGGCACCTTGGCAGCGAGACCAAGTCCCCATAGTCAGAGGACAGCGTGCCGGAGAAGACTTTTTCCCGAGCCAGGAGTTTCACCACACGAATGCCTGCAAATACCTTAAAGTTGGAATGCCCGCAAAATGGTTGGGGGGGGGGAGTCCAGGTATTACATTCACCTTGATTGCAACCTCCCTTTCTTTTCAAGCAGGGTATTAGTACCTCCTGGCACCCCGTATGGCTGTTTTTTCGGTCAAACTCCCGTATTTGGCCGTATTTGCCCGTATTACCATAAGTGTTCGGTCATTTTTCAAGCAGGGTATTAGTACCTGTGAATAGTACCGGTTGTGAGGACTCACAGCCATGGCAAGTGAAGAACTATAGTCGCCAACTTATCCCTAGGAGCCCCTTGGACCCTAAGTAGAACCCTTCAACCCCCAAAGGCATCAAATAAGGAGGTCCAAAGGGGCTCCTAGGGTATACGCGTTACCGGGTACCCTACCCCTTTTTGTTGTGCCATCGCGACAACAAATGTCTCCAACCCTGCAAGGGCCCTAGGCGTGGGGCTTGCTTCTTCTTTGAGACCCAAGCCTTTCAGAATTTTGCCCCTCGTTTTCACCAGGCCTAGATAGAGGGGGAAAGACTGTGAAGTTCTAGGAAGCCACTCGATCGGAAGCGAATATCCCGGCCCCCCGTCCAAAAGGGACTACCTGGAGTCTCCATGACCCGAAATGAAAATGGGTCCATATTTTGGGTAATGACCAACACCATTTTTTACGGGTCCTTAGGGAGACTCCAGGTAAAAGTCCAGGAACTCAGGAAGTGAGTCATTAGGAGGGTTCGTTGAGGTTTCCCTCGGATTCCTTCGATGTGGAATTGGCTGTGGCGAATTCAAAAAACCGGACAATTCCAAAATGGCTTGCCCGATCGGTAAGTGGAAACATGGAAACCAAAACCTGCGGTTTGCCCCTCCTGCTTAATTTTGAGCCACACCCATATGGGTTTTTATTCTTGGGATTGGTTCTTATGGGTTCATATGGGTTTACCCCTTGGGTTCATATGGTTCTTTTTGTGAAAAGCTGCCCGCTCTCTCAAAAGCCTTAGGCTTGCGGCTGGATGAGCATGCCAGCCACCGCAATCATCGCGAGCCTGCCCAACAGCCGCGCCGCGGCAAGGCAACCAGACTTCAGCCAAACGCACAAAAAAAAGGTGTTTGTTTGCAGCCACCTACTAAGAATGAACAGAAACACCGAAAAAAACAAAAAACATGCCAACATGGGGACTGGGGGGGAGGGAGGGGAGGGGGCGGAGGACAACAAAGGCCTTAAGGGCTTAAGAGCGAGTTTGGGCCCTCTCGCCCCGAGCCCCATTCAAGGGAAACCCTTTTCCATGAGGTAGGGTCTGGAGGTCTGAAACTCGAGGCGCCCTTGCCCAAAACCAAAGACCGAAACCACAGCTCACTTCCGATCGTTCGCCGCTAAAATTGCCCAACTCAAAAGTGACTGAAGGCCCATAAACTCAGGAAGTGAGGGATGCAGAAGAAACCCAGATCATAGGGGACATAGGAAACCTCCGGCGTGGATATCACGGTTGCTTTCTGTACCGAGGTGATCCCTGCTTCTGGACAACATCCGCAACACGTATCAGTTGAGATTGATGGTTTATACCAGCTGGGTTTCATCCATCCCAACCGGTGCAAAACTTTCGTGAATTCTGCCGGTTGCACGGAAATGCACAGTATGATCAAATTGGCAGGGGAGACCTACGGCCCAGCGGCAACGCCCTCAGCTTCCCTCGCCCGGTGATGCGGATTGGTTTTGTTTGGCGGTGTGAAGGTGCTTCCCCATATACCCACAAGCAGGGGTTCATTCGTTTGGTGGTGGCTGAATTTTCAAAACATGGCCCCAGGTCCCTATCTGCCCCATGAAGGGGAAAGTGAAAAATATAGAATTTCAGGGGTCACCCCACTCCCCCAAATTTATGTAATTACAAAAAGGCGGGCATCAATTGCGCCACTTTTCCGCATCGCAGATTTGCTCCGTCCATGCGACAGCCCCGGGTTCAAGCTCAGCTGCTGTTGTACCTGGCTGCTGTCTCCGCCGCAGCCTGCATGACCCCAGGTCACGACAGCCCCGGATTCAAGAATGGCAGCAAAAGCACCACCATACGGACTTCTAGTTGCTTGGATGTGCTGGACGTTCCTCAGCTGCTCTTGCACCTGGCTGCTGTCTCCGCCATTTTTTGGATTGCCCCAGGTCACAACAGCCCCAGATTCAAGAATGGCGGCAAAGGCACTGTAAGTTGCTTGGATGTGCTGGACGTTCCTCAGCTGCTCTTGCACCTGGCTGCTGTCTCCGCCATTTTTTGGATTGCCCCAGGTCACAACAGCCCCAGATTCAAGAATGGCGGCAAAGGCACTGTAAGTTGCTTGGATGTGCTGGACGTTCCTCAGCTGCTCTTGCACCTGGCTGCTGTCTCCGCCGAATATAGCATTACCCCAGGACAGAACAGCCCCAGAATCAAGAATGGCAGCAAAAGCTCCACCAGAAGCTGCTTGAATTTGGTGTACGTTCTTCAGCTGATCTTGCACCTGGCTGCTGTCTCCACCAGACTCTGCACAACCCCAGGTCACAACAGCCCCAGATTCCAGAATGGCAGCAAAAGCACCCTTGGCAGTTGCTTGGATGTGCAGGACATTCCTCAGCTGATCTTGCACCTGGCTGCTGTCTCCGCCGTATTCTGGATCACCCCAGGTCACAACAGCCCCAGATTCCAGAATGGCAGCAAACGCACCACCAGTTGCTTGGATGTGCTGAACGTGGCTCAGCTGCTCTTGCACCTGGCTGCTGTCTCCGCCCAAGTCTGCACGACCCCAGGTCACAACAGCCCCAGATTCAAGAATGGCAGCAAACGCACCATCAGTTGCTTGGATGTGCTGGACATGCCTCAGCTGCTCTTGCACCTGGCTGCTGTCTCCGCCATAGCATGGAACACCCCAGGCCACAACAGCGCCAGATTCAAGAATGGCAGCAAATGCACTACCAAACCGACTGCCAGTTGCTTGGATGTGCTTGACGTTCTTCAGCTGCTCTTGCACTTGGCTGCTGTCTCCGCCGTGTCGTAGATCACCCCAGGTCACAACAGCCCCAGATTCAAGAACGGCAGCAAAAGCACTCTCAGTTGCTTGGATGTGCCGGACGTTCCTCAGCTGCTCTTGCACCGGGCTGCTGTCCCCGCCTTCTCTTGGAATACCCCAGGTGACAGCCTTCCCCCCATTCTCATAGAAAGTGAACGCTTGTGCAGCGGCAGCTAATTGGCCAAGCTGCGCAATTGCAGCCACAAGATCCCCATCTTGCAGCCCGGCCTCACTCAGCGTGGCTGTCAAATCGATCGGCTGGCCGTTTGCAGTAAGCTTCAAGAGGCGCTGGAAATGCTGCTGCGCTGCAGCCTTCAGCTCACTGATGGGTGTCTCTGGTGAGACTTCTACGGAGCAGCCATCTCCGCTGAGCAAGTGAACATCCACCCTCATGGCACAGGAAGATTCTTCGTGCATAAGTTGAACACAAACCTGAAACACAACATGTCAATGCCGGGGTCCTGTTTTGAATGGCTTCTGAAGGGATCCCTACTGGCAGGCTGGCAGGCAAACCTTTTCTGCACTCCCCTTGCTCACTTCCTGAGTGGATTTGCCTCCGAAAAGTCCCAAACTGTTTATTACCAATAGAATAATACTCACTTGCCCAAAGAACCCAGAAATAAAAGGTTAACCTTTTGGGGCCATGACTCATGGACCAAAACCGGAAAACCATTCTGGTTAAAAGGTCGATTCGCTTTGGGCAACTGAGAATAGAATGGTCCAAACCCAAACAATCACTAAAGTCCAGGCACTCAGGCAGTGAGGACCTGTCGAGGACCGGTCCAACTTGCATTTTGAAGCTCTCAGCGAACCTGAAGCAAGGCGATTTGATCGCGGCTTGCCTGGTGAGTCATACCTGTTACACAAAGAAGAATACCCAAAACTCAGTTGCCCCGGAGGGCAAAAGTAGTAACATGGAAGGAAGTTTCACCCAGAAATTCTGGGAAGTGACCACCTGAAACCAACATGTTCGGTCAGTATCCTGGGCGGGAAAAAAATGGGGGTCCACCTGCAAAGGAAAAAGAAACATCCGCCTCCGGTGTTTTCGCTTCCCTTCAACAGAAGCTGAGGCGACAGGAACCGCCGACAGCTCACCGGAAACCCTGGAAGCCTCCGGTTCCAACCCGAAACCACTCGGAAGCCCCGGGCACAAAGCCTCATGCTGGCGAACTTGTTTGGGCTCAACGAAAGACAGGTGACCCTATAAGCCCCTTGGACCCGAAAAAAAATATGGGCTGCCCCTTTAACCCCAAAAAAAAGGGCCTCAAAGAATGAAATCGGTCAGCTGAATTTTGAGGGTCCCCCTTCTTTTTGG